AAAAATCGTGCGTGCTCTTCTAGCCTTTTTGCTGCCGTACTTGATTTGAGCCGATTCCTGATCGCTGTTCTGACATTTGGAAGCAACCTCGTTCATGATGCCGCTTGTACATGATCCAACTGAAAATGAACAAGATTTTCACCCGTATATGAAAATTTAGAAGTCTCTATTACCGGAAGATACTCTGCTCGACGCTATATCATTTAACGTGTCTTTATTTGTTGAAACCGGACTGATTGATGGTTCTGCTGTCTCTCTGCCGCAGAGCAAATCAGAAATCAGAAACGAACACTTGGACATTCAGATAGAAAATTAGCGATTCACTCTGAGTACTCTTTTTTCAAGACGCAAACAGGAAACGAAAGCCTGTAATTGCGCCAACAATTAAACGACACCAACAACGGGTATCACCAGTGACGAGCGCTTTGTTCGAAGACGACAACTGGTTATAAGCGTACTGTCTTTGCAGCAGGTGATCTGCTAATCATAACTGCTCTTAACCTTTGCGCTGATTCGTGGCTTTAGCCATCGTAGCTCCGCCCAGACAACTAAACGTTATTCGTTGAAAAAGATGTTTTGGAATTTATCTAATTTAGCCACTGAGCATATTCCTCAATTCTGTCACTTAATTTCAGTAGCTGGGCTTCATTTCCATCGTTTCCGTACTCAAAGCAATGACGGTTTTTGCTTTCATTGAAGTACATTTACATGAGCACACTTGACACTGCAACTAATTATGCCTGAGTATCGGTCATGGGACAACTGGCTCACCTTTTTGTTCTTATTCAGCAAGCACATTCTGATTATTTCGTTACTGCCCCATGCCGTAGCATCCAAAAGCACATTCTTGATAGTTGACTCTCCTGTTCATTATTATTCAATCAATTTTTAATAGGCTTTATACTCGAGGGTACCGGCGCCGTCGTCTGGTGGCAACAGGTGCTTGCACAGCACAAACAGATTGCGTTACACATTATGCGCAATGATGGATGATCTGGACATTTATTCCGTGATAGACTGCGACTCTTCTCTTAGGCCAGACAGTTGTTGCCGTCGTTCTTCTCCTCATCCCGTGTGACCGCTGTCTATCGTGAAGTGCGCTAAAAAGACGTTGCTACGGCAGTCAGGCCAGATGACATCGCCTGGCCTGGACCGTTACAACTTCTTTTCCCTCTACTTCTGTTTTGTTACTCGCTGTGAAAGATTTTGTGCAATAATCGACAACTAGTGCTTTTAATCTAATTTAAGCTGATATCAGTAGATTCTACAATGTCATATTCAATGCCAAATTCTCGACTCTCTGATATTCAAGGTTTAGAATTTGACAAATATTAGTCAGATGTCGGTGACTTTGAAACAATTAGAGTACATTATTAGCAGATAACTGGTTAGTTGATTGTTTTATTCCAAAACCATTGGTAATTTTTGAACAGGTGTAAAATTCACGGTTGAAAAGTATTACAACGCGTGCTTTTCATTAAGAACTTTGTAAATCTATTTAAAATATTTTTATTTCGTGGCATAATCGTCATCCTGTTATATCTGTCTCCTGATCCGTTCCACCATTCACCAACCAGGCAGTTGGTTGCGATGGTTGTTCATCTGTTATTGTCATGAAACCCCAGCGCCAGAGAATTTTTTCAACGTTCCCAATCCGGCTCCGTCATCTGAGGTTTTACAGAAGACATCAAGTATCGAGCCCAATCCTTTGAGGCACTTGCCATGGGAAAGTTCTTTGCTTTATTCTGGGTCTTTAGTCGGTCCACCAGGCGAGTACTAGCAGTCTTTCCTTCTTGTCTGGAAGCATTCCCAAAATGTGCTGAAATCATTGCAGCTTGTGACTTGTCGACCTGGAAAAGCAGTGGCTATGCACTAAGACTTTGACGGATATCGCAGCTTCAGATTCTGTCTAGCTGAAAGAATGCAGCCTCTCATCTTAGAAAGACCATTTCAGCCGCTTTTACCCGGAATTGCAATTTTTCAATAATGGTCCATCACTCATCATCATAGGTGAGCATGGCGAGGAACACAAACTAGTCTTCCCCTTCTGACTCAGCTCTACCTTAGTGACAACAGCGCAGGTTAGTTCAAAGAAAGCGTAGTTGTCAACCCCAATTCGTCGGTCGATCTCTTACTCCAGTTTTCCATCATTAATAAACAAAATACTCAGGTACGTGAATTCTCCGTTTGTTCCACTGTTTCTCTTTAATCTGCAGAACGCAGTTGGCAGGAAACAAAAAAGCACTAGGCGGTTCCTTTTGGAAACCTTCGGGCGCATAGTGAGTTCGACGCATTCACCTGTAAGCCTTTCCAGAGTGTGCTGGTGATCAGTTCCAAGAAAAGCCAACAAAACAACATTGTCTGTAAACAGTAAACTTTTCTTTTCAACATCTACGTTGATACCTTTGTCATCCTGCGGCGCCTGACTATCCGATCCATAGAGAAAACAAGCATAAGTGAATTCAGAGAGAACTCTTGTCGAAGAGCAGTTGCAATGTTAACAGGTCTCGACTTAATGTCATTTGCTTTGACGTATCTAGAGCTACCAGTGAATAGCCATCGACCTCATAATTCTGCAGGAACACGCCATAGCTTGTTGCACGAACTCTGCTTACAAGCATCGTCCAACTTTGCAAAATTCGCGTGAATCATTTTGCGATCTCGTACAATTTCTCAACAATCTAATGAAGAACGAAAATATATTCCGATGTGTTTCGCCTTTTAAATCTTAAGTGGGCAATTTCGCAACTCCTGCTTTCAACTTTGCATAGCTTTTCCCCGGGAAGTTTAGTAAGCTAATGTTTATGAACAAGGGTACTACAACCTGAGATCTCTAGTCTACTAGTGTCTTCACCGTATCCATTACAATCTGACAGCCACGTTAGTAACATTGCACTTTGTTGCCTAAGGCGTTAGTCTTTTTAGGGTAGATTTCATCAATTCCATTTTGATATTTCTCCTTGCCACTTTTCAAGACTTTTACAGCTTCCACGACTTCATATACTGAAAGATCAATTTGCTTTTCAGTCGAATCTATCTATGCTTGCTCAGGGTCAAGAAGTTCCTCCAGCTACTCTCTTTATCAGTGATGCACCTCCTCTTCTTTGCTAGGAAGGCGTCTGAACTCGTTCGTCAGAACTCTAAGACTGCCTCCTTTTATCTCAGAGGAGACGAACAGTCTGCCAGAATACTTGCTTTCCGCCTGGAAATTCAAATTTGGCACATCATGTGCTTTAACCAAGAACCTGGCTCCGCCTTAGGTACTCTACCGCTAACAGACTGTCATCCAGTGACTCTACTTGACAGGTGGGGTTCGTCCAGAACACCAACACCGGGCGCTATTAGGTCGACAACTGAGTATAAACGCTACTTCATGCAGAGGTTTTGAAATTCAGGTCTTTGGCGTCTCTTTGATGAGAGTTCAATTAAGACAAGTTTGTAACTTACGGCTGCCTCGTCAGCTAGTTGTTTTTATTTTGCTCTGAGTGAAGATAGGCTATTGTTTCCAAGTATGAGCTTACGCTGTTAGAATAGTTTTTGTGAAACCGTTTCTGGCGTGCTATAATAACTTCGCGTTGTCAGCCTTCTCTGCTCAGAACCGGTAGCGAGCGACTCCACTGTTAACTGGCATGGCCTTCGCGTAGCTCATCAGCAGCCGGCACTATGCTGCTACTGCCCTAGAAACCAGCAGGCGTCAAGTAGATTCTGATCATCGTCTTTTCGCAGTTGGCGTCTGCTGCCCATGTGTGGCCCTTCTTAATTCAGTTGGGATCGAGTCGACATGGCGTTCGAGAGCATCAAAAACATGAAGATCAGTTTGTTAGACTTTGAGGATGACTTGCCATGGTCTTCAACCATCCTCTTTTCTCATCTGGGCTTGAAAGCGTCAACGACGGAGTTTCCACCAATCATCCCATTAAAAATCATTTCCCTACAAAGGTAACACTCCTTCATATCGCCATTAAATGCTTTGTCACATTTTGGTTTCTCTCTATCATTATCGTCATGCTCATTATCTTGTCATGCGGCAGATGTTTTTTCGTACTTACTAGACGTAAGAACGCGTCTGACATTTCTGCGTAAGCGCCAAGACCTCATACCTTTTCCAAGCACCTTTTTTAACCTTATTCGGATGTAAGGATTCACTTTTTCTCAATCGAAGCAACAACCGTCAAAGCAAGCTTTCAAAGTTTATCAAAGACGAATTAAATTCGAATCTTCGTTCTCCTTCATTATCTGCATTCCAATTCTAATCTTGTAAATAATTGAATTCGGCCCATTCTATCATGAACGACGTCAATTTCGATGCGCACAGGGGAATAAATCGTGTCGGTAACAGGTCATTTTTGTTCGCTAATTTTCTTCATCTTTCTGAAAGCACAAGCGAAGCTGAACAAGTTACCAAGAAGCTTTGAGCGTCTCTTTGAGCAAAGGTCGACTGGGTGACCACAAAGACAATTAATGACGTGGCACAGAAAGTATCTACAGTAGAGCGATTTTCTATTCAAAATGAAACCACTTCCCAGTGAGCCCTCTAATTATACACTGACGTCCATGTGCTAACCTTGACGGATTCACTCACCACGGGTTGTCAACGCTTGTTTGACAAACAAACACTGATGCAACAAGCGATTAGCCATATGATCACAGATGGTCAGCCAACGACGCATGCTTGGTCTTTTGTTGTCCAATAAGCTTCCTATCGATGGTCCATTGGCCAAGTCCTCATAGTTTGGCTTTGTCCCGCTGGGTGCTGTCACGATGCAACAACCACCGTTTACTGTCTCCAAGTCGCCTACCGATTTTGCAACTGGCCTTTATGTCATAACCAAGAGATATTGTGGCGACAGAGTTCGCCTGCATGTGTAGGTTCTGTAGAAATCCTATATTAAGTCTCGCTGCATTTCTTCATTCGGTTTTCATTACTCCTATACTCCGAAATTAACCAGATATGTCAGACAAGGACTTTCAAAAAGATGCTTTCTGTTTATGTAAAAGAATTTTTAAGCCATGAACCCATTTTGCGGCTAGTCGATGGTTGACAAATGTCGTGACCGAACAATAGCGCATTATTGTTCGCTAATGTCGCGTCAAGG